GCTGAATCTGAAGTTGCTGCATGGCAGCAAGACTGATGGCTGAGAAGATGTGGAATCTAAAGTATGTTGACGGCATACAACTGAGCATAAAATAGGATCTTCTATTTTTCTACTCTGATCATCACTTTGTTTGGAGTGTTCAGTTAATTTGCATTTACTGCAACGATTGATATGGTACCTTGACAAGTTTGTGATTTGATTTCTATATGTCCTATGTCTGTCTTATCATGCTACTCCCTTAATGATGCAGTGCTTTCTTCCCAATAGCTTTTTACTTTTCTTAGGAGAAATTCAAAAACTATGTAATATTTCTTGTCTAGATAAATCCCATATACTCCAGGTTTAAGCCGTATTACATTTCATTCAGTTCTTCAACTCACACCTTCACCAAATTTTACCTCTTTAAGACACTGGTGCGCTTTTTTTTTTCTGATTAAAAATGTCTCTATCCGCTAACCTGGCTAACTCTGGCTCATCCATTATGTATCAGCTGAAACCTTGCATACATTTTTTATATAAGATTAAAACCTTCCATAATGTATTCATACCACTCTCTACTTCCTCTGTGGTAAAAGAGATACAATTTTACTTTAGTTACTTGTTAAGGTGTCTGCTTTCTGCCTTAGAACATATGTATATCCTGTGAAGTCAGGAACTATAGTATCATGTATTTCTAACTTCTAGTTCAGGAACTGGAAAATAATTAGTATTCAATGACCATCTGACAAAGGAATGTAGTAATATATTGTCATGAAATGATTTCAAATCAACTGGGACTTCGACTCAAGAAGCTTGTAATAGGACAACAAAATGAGCTGTACAATACAAAGAAGGTATAAATACAGTTAAAAGCAGAAGTCATTTTTGAACTTTTTAGTAATTGAACACTGAAGAAATGTACAAAAGATAAGAAAATGTCCACATGCTCCCCTCCACGCATTTATTACCCAGCTTCAGCTCTTATCAGTATATGTCTAACTGTGTTTTTTCCCCCTATGCTTCTAAGTAAAATTGCTAAGTACAAGGGTCAATGGTGTGTATAATTTTACAGACACTGCTAACTGCACTTCTATAATAGTTGTTGCATTTTGCATTCTCACTTGCAGTATATGAGAGTGCCTCTAGTCTGGTCCAGAGAGTATGTTGTGAAATTTTGAATTCTTACCAATAAAATATATGAGAGATGATATTTCAGTGTAGTTCTACTTTTAAAACACAAGTTCTTCAAATAAAAACAAGTAATTTAGTGCAGTTATCAGTGAAACCGAAATATAGTTCTTGGAGAGGCAAAAAAAAAAAAAAGACAGGGGGCTTTGCTGGTGGCGCAGTGGTTGAGAATCTGCCTGCTAATGCAGGAGACACGGGTTCGAGCCCTGGTCTGGGGGGATCCCACATGCCGCGGAGCAACTAGTCCCGTGAGCCACAACTACTGAGCCTGCGCGTCTGGAGCCTGTGCTCCGCAACAAGAGAGGCCGCGATAGCGAGAGGCCCACGCACCGCAATGAAGAGTGGCCCCCGCTTGCCACAACTAGAGAAAGCCCTCGCACAGAAACAAAGACCCAACACAGGCAAAAATTAATTAATTAATTAATTAATTAAAAAAAATTCTTACTGTGTTTATCTATTCTTTTCCCTAATTCAGTTAGCATTCTTATTACTAATGTTCTGAGTTCTTTATTTAGCAAATTATTTACTTGTTTCATTAATTGTTTTTTTCAGGGGTTTTCTCTTGCTCTTTCAGTTGAGACAAATTCCTGTCTTCTCATTTTGCTTATCTTTCTCTGACTCTATGAAATTAGGTGAAACAGTTAACTATGTTAGCCTTGAAGTGGGTCCTTATATAGGAGCAACACTATACAGTCTGTTTGTGCCCAGTGGCTTTGGTGGGAGAGCTGGATTTGACGTCACATCTTTCTTCAGGGTGTGCTGGCAGCTCTCACCTTGGTAGGAGGTGGGGCTGGATATGGGAGGGCCAGGGCCTGAGCCAGGTGTGATGTGGTTCTTCCCCTCTGCTTTGTGGCTGTCACTGCCCTATTGGGGTGGAGTCAGGTCCCAAGTTTCTGGATTTGAAACCCTGAGGGTCTGGTCCTAGCTGGCTCTGATCTCTTTAAGTGTATGCTCTTCCCCCTCCCAACACCAGCACCCTCAGCCTCAGGGAGGAGCAGTGTTAGAGCAAGAGAGGCCAGTGTGGGTATTTGGCAAGAGTGGGCCATGGGGTATGGCGGTCTAGCCACCATCAGAGATGTGGTCTGGCTCTGATGTGCTGTCTGTGGTCACCAGCAATTGTTGACCCCTCCCTGTCCAGACTCTACTTAGGGGTTGAGCCACCACAGCAACTCATGGCCAAGATTTTTCATTGGTTATGGAAGCCCTTATTCCAGTGTGGAGCTGCAAAGCAAGGCAAATGATACTGGAGTGTTTAGTTGGCTCAGGCTGGGGTACATGCCAGGGAAGTCGCCAGGAAACCAGTCAGCCAGCTACATGGTCTCAATCTGTCCTTTCCACCTGCTTTGTTTTATTTTATTTATTTATTTATTTGCCACACTGCATGGCTTGTGGGATCTTAGTTCCCCAACCAGTGATTGAACCTGGACCCATAGCAGTGAAAGCAAGGAGTCTTAACCACTGGGAATTCCCCCACCCTGCTTTGGAAGCAAGCAAGCTTTCTGCTAGTTCCCAGTTAGTTTTCAGTAAGAATTGTTCCACATACAGATGGATTTTTTATGTGTTTGTGGGGGGAGGTGAGTTCCGTGTCCTCCCACTCTGCCATCTCCATTCCTACTCCGCTAATTCTTTGATCCTGTTTATATTCTATTTTATGTCTTCTGATTGTGAACCAACAAGAGAATTTTGTGAACTCTGGCATAAAAAAGCAATAAATATTACTATGCATTTAGCCAACAATAATAATTACGAAGCACTTTCTGCTAGACACTGTGCTAGGCCTAATGGAGATGATACTTGAATGCATGCTTTGCTTTGCCTCTTTACACATTCCACCACCACCTCACACAGCCCCTAACCTAGTTCTCTCCCATAAATCACTGCTAGTTCTTAGATATTTCATCAAAATTTAAATGGTATTTTTCTTAGTGAAAAAGCAGAAGGCAGGAAACAGAACTTTTTGGTTGTCACCAGAAAACTGGAAAAAGCTCAGGATGAAGAAGTGGTAGAAGGGAGTGGCTGGGGGGGCAGCTAACATCAGACAGAGGGGACATGGGAAAGAATGGGTGGGTATATGCCCCAAGCAAGGGAGTTACTGGACAACAGTCCCATGAACTATTTTGTGGTGCCCAATTCAAGACTGTTTACTTTATTCTGAACCAATCTCACTCTGGCAACTCAAATTCATACCATTATCTCCAGGAAGGATTAGTGCAAATATAAAACCAAGGCTGGGGCTTCCCTGGTGGTGCAGTGGTTGAGAGTCCGCCTGCCGATGCAGGGGACGTGGATTCGTGCCCCGTTCCGGGAAGATCCCACATGCCGCGGAGCGGCTGGGCCCGTGAGCCATGGCCGCGGGGCCTGTGCGTCCGGAGCCTGTGCTCCCCAACGCGAGAGGCCACCACTGTAAGAGAAAGGCCTGCATACCGCAGGGGAAAAAAAAAAAAAAGACATACATGTATCTAATAATCACATTGTACACTTTAAATTTACATATATGTCAATAATATCTCAAAAAAGCTGGAAAAATAAATTAAAATTTTAAATTAAAGAGCCATGGAATCTTCTCTAAAAATCTTTAAGAAATAAATCTGACTAGGATATCCTTTTATTTCTCTGAGAATGCTGGCTGCTCTCTTAGGGATATAGGCAGGAATATGTGGGTAAATTATGGGGCAAGGAAGGAGGGAAGGGGGTCTAGATAGAAGTAAAGTGACTTCTGACTTTTGCTTGGTCTCCCTTCCAATAAAAGATTAATGGTACCCAATGACCCAACAGCCCATTAATCTGCCATTGTTCCCATTACCCTCAGGAAATGGTGATTGACAGGGATGCAGAAGAGAAAAGTAAAACAAACTGAAGGCAGCTTCTTTCCACAAGCAAGGAGGCTCTTATCTCCTTTTTGTCACTATTTCTGATTGTGTTACTGGCTGTGGATCTCAAAGTCTAGCCAATTCCCTGATCTCACCATAGCCTGACGACCAGGGTCTAACCAGTTTATGTGCTTTCTAGGACAGTTTGGAATTTGGGGATGAGGGGTATTACTTTGTCCTCTTACACACTGGAGCAAGGGAGAGAAAGTAACAGAAAGACAGAAAAAAGAGACTAGGAGGAAAAAGAGGGCTGCGTCCGGGGTCATCCCAGCTTTTCAGGTTCGCACTGCCCATCCAGGCCTGGTTGAGCCCTGGTAAATGTATGACCAGCGTCTTGATGGTTGCCGGCCCCTCACTCCTTGATGGAGTCCTCACACCAAAACAGGCAGCCCTTCCTAGCTCAGGCAGGACGCGGATGCCGAGAGCTGTTAGGCACAATAAGGCCGCCAGAGGGCGCGAGCGCCTCAAGTCCACGCGCGATGGCGTCGACCCAACCAGGAAGGAAAGGTGGTCGGCCTCCGAGTGGTGGTGGGCCCCGCCTCGGCCGCGAGCTGCCGGCCTCCGCGCACTGCGTGCCCGCCCTTCCATTCTCATCCGCCCGAGGGCCCCACCCCGATCTGTGCTTGCAGGGTGACCTCGACGCCCGGGCACAGTCCGAGGGCGTTCTCAGCTCCGCTCGCTCCTCGCCGCCCCAAACTCGCTCCGAGCCGGAGGCCTGCGGGGAGGCGCGGGCCGGGTTTTCCGAGAGGGACGCCCGGAGGGGCAGGCCCGGGGACAGCCCGCAGGCAGGGGCCGCGCTCCAGCATCCGGCCGCCTCGTAACAATGGCCCGAGGGGCTGCGGACATTGTGGCGGGCGCTGAGGAGCAAGGGCGCCGGGGCGCTGGAAGCCCCGCCCCTCGGCCGGCTCCTTGACAACGCGGGCCCGACCGCGCAGCCTGCTCCCCGCCCCTCGGCGCCCCGCACCAGGCGGGGCCGGGGCTAGATCGCCGCCGCCGCTGCTGCAGCTGCAGCTGCTGCTCTGCAAAGAGGGGCCCGGGGCCGGGCTGGGGTGCCCTCCCTCCCACGTTCTCCCGCCGCTATGAGCCAGGGAAGTCCGGGGGACTGGGCCCCCCTCTATCCCACCCCCGGACCCCCGGCGCCCCCCAACCCCTTCGTGCATGAGTTACACCTCTCTCGCCTCCAGAGGGTTAAGGTAAGGTATGGGCGGGGGGCGTCGGGAGGACTCGTGGGGATAGGAAAAGGAGGCCTTTTGGAGCCTTGATACAGATGGGGATCCGAAAGGGGGTCGGTGAGAGGCTAGCGGGGCGGGAGTCAGGGGGTGCGCACGTGGGGGCGGCGGGGGGTGGTCGAGGAGTCCTGGGGAGGACGCAGGCTTGGGCGACAGACAAGCTGAAGGTGTGTGAGAACTGACTGAACCCCCGTGCTCTCCCAGCAACCCCTCCTTTCCACTACCCACCCCACCCCCCATGCACTGCAGCACCTCCCGCTGGGGTGGGGGGAGGGAGGTGGAGAAGGGGGTTGGCTACAGGAAGTGGAGGGCTGCGCCGGCCTGGGGAGGCTGGGGAGTGGTATGAGAAGGGAGTGTCCGAGGTTTCTGTTGCCTTCACCTCCCCTGAGGCCGGCTCCTGGGGCTCGGTTTGTTTACCTGCACTCTCCCCAGGGCAGCCCATGGAGTCACCCTGGCTCCTGGCAACCCCTACCCTGTGGAGTAGGGCCGATCTCTTTTCTCGCCTTTTCCCCAGTACTGGGGAAGTGCTCCTGGGCAGAACTAGAGACTGGCCTGGGTCTGAAAAGTAGACCTCTCTGTGTTTCCCAACCCTCTGCCTCCCAGACCCGAAGTGGACAGAACTATGCACCTGGTTTCTGTTAGACTTAGGAGCTATTTATGGAAGGGGGTGGTGGGAGGAGGAACTATCTCTAGCCTACCCTACATCAAGCACAGTGCTGGGCGCTTTCACACTAGTTATCCTTGAATCCTCTTAACAGTCTTTCAGCTTTGTTGGTGTGATGGGCACCAGCTCAAAGACGGGAAAGTGAGGTCCCTGTTCCCATTAATCTTTTTCCTCTTTCC